TAGAGGTGAAGGCAACTGAGCAGGAACTGACTGGGCTCCTGTCTTTATAGCCAGTTGCCTTTGACTCCAAAGATGCCAGCCATAGTTGCTAGCAAAACATCAGGAAATCTCTTCTCTAGACCACAGTCAGTAAACCCTGAACCCTAACACTGCTCAAAAGTATAAATTGTTTCTAGATTCCGGTAGCAAACTCTTCCTACTTGTTTGTATGGTTATTTATGCTACTTGGGTTATTGCTGCTTAAAACTTTGATCTACTAGAAACAAAACAATTCTAAAACTTGGTATTTTTCCAGATATTTTCCCTCTATTTTAAATATTATTCCCCCCCCATGAAAAAAAAAACTTAAGAATATGTGGTGCCTGGTCTATTATAAACATTAGATCAGAATCAGTTAAACCTAGCCATGAGTTTCCATAAAAATCTAGTCTGTGTTATTAATTTCAAAGGGATGTAGACATAATCAGCATGAGTTGATAGCAGCAGTGAGGTGTATGTCTCTGTGTGTGTTTTCACTATAATATCATTCAATTGAATGACCTCTAAATGTTTAGTTCATCGATTCAGAATTGCAATGGCAGGACTATATAATCAATAACATTGTTTAGTTCAGGTTCACATAAAGGAAGTCTATTAGATACAGGCCATTTAATGTTTTTATAATATTTTAAATTAATGGTCACTTATGAGTGCTACTGTATAGCTTCACTGGCAACTATGAATACCTAGAAAAACAAATACATGAGGATGAACAGATTGTTAAACGGCAGTGGGAATTCAGACATTTGTAAATTCAGGTTTCGGAATTCTGTTTGTATATTCTACACACTGTTATGGGAATTATCCTGTATTATTCTATTGTATTGCTGTTAATATTTGAAATAAGATCTCTAAAAATATCAGTATATTCTGGTACTATGATCCTAGTCGTCATGGAAATGCAAACCAAGGAAAGACAGAAATATTCACAAACATTGCACAAGCTCTTGGTTGTGACAATACTCCTTTTTGTGCAGGTTTTTCATGGCAATACCTACACAGATGGACCTGTCATGTCTCCTGTATGTCTAAATATTCACTTTTACTTTGACACATGAGCAAGAGACAATAACTAAATGGTTATCTTCCCTCCGCCACCAGCTGTTCCCACTGGCAGCACAAGCAGGAGGAGAATTTGCGTGAACTACAGACCCAGATTTTAACAGTGATATTTGGTGATTTCTCATTGAAAAATAATTACCCAGGTTTTAGTGCTATTACTTATGCCTTTTTATGGTAAATTTTAAAATTCATAAAATTCATAATTCATGTCAGAAAATACAATAGTGTATTTTTCTTCCAATATTTCCAGATTTAAAAAACAGAAGTCTATGAATGAAAGTATGTCAGAATGAAAAAAATCAGATATGATTCTATACCTGCTAATATGTTCAGAGCCTGCATTTTCTACAGGAACTGCTAAAGATTCCCAATGGTTCTGCTAAACTCTTGCTTTCAACAAACTTCAAATTCTGTTTCTCTACAATTGACTCTTTACTTCCTCTGTTAAGGGAGTGGGTAATCAACCTGCGTGAATAAGGAAGTGTTTGGAACAATATAGTACGGCTGTCTCTGACTAGTTTATGGGCTATCAAAGAAGGGCAGTCCATGAAATAGGGTCAAGGTAGATCCCTTTTCCCACGTACTTCCCTCTCTCTTTTGGGCTTAGACAAGCAGCCTGAACCAACATGAGGAAGGCGGCTATTGATCATTCCTGCTGATAATAAGTATCAACCCAGCACCTGGAATTCAAGGTGGCCTTTTAAATGTATGTATGTATGTATGTAAATTGCCTTTTTCTTGTGGATCATAACAAGAGTTAGCACATAAAATGTTCATTTGCTGGTGTGAAAGAAATTAATTCTGAAGAAGTTAACATAGCACTCTCAGAACCAAAACTGGCACTTTCCAAATCTGAAAATAATTCACAAATAAATATTGAACATTAATGGATCTAACTCTATTGGTCATTCAGTTATAGCCTCTTGTGTTTAACGTAATTAACAGAAAAAATATTGAAACTACAGGAAGGAGACATACGGAAACAAGTTGTCAGGCTTCAATGAATGATTCAGTTTTTAAAAATGACAAATGTGTAAGTGTGCTTCATCATTAATAATAACAAAAGATCCTATTTAAATTGAATTAGCTACTTTTTAAGCTGCTCAGCTACAGAGATTCAAAAGGTTGACACTGAAAAGTTCAGCAGTGACAGCTGAGGTTTGAGAATGATATGGACTGTAGTTTCCAACTTCCCCAATTAAAATGGGGGCACCCTTACTTGTAGTATCTTGTGGCCAGATTAGCCCATAGAAGTAACTGTTTATGGGAGAGTCAATGCCACAGGTACTTTTGGAAGACATACCCAGAGACAGCTTAGCAACTGAACATCTGAGTAGCCTATTCCAGGAGGCAGGGATCATGAGTATTATTGAAGCGGTAAACCTGTTTGGGGACTATAGTACAGCGGTACCTCTAGTTACGAACGGCCCTCCTTACGAATTTTTCGAGATATGACCAGCTCTGGCCCAAAAAATTTACCTCATCTTGCGAACCACCTCGAGTTACGAACCAGATCTGCAGCCATTTTCCCTCCCGTGCCACATGGTCCGCGGCCATTTTCCGCCTGTTCCACATGGTCCGCAGCCATTTTCCGCCCGTGCCACGTGGTCCGCGGCCATTTTCCACCCGTTCCACATGGTTCGCGGCCATTTTTCCACCCATTCCACGTGGTCCGCGGCCATTTTCCGCCCGTGCCACGTGGTCCGCGGCCATTTTCCACCCATTCCACATGGTCTGCGGCCATTTTTCCACCCGTTCCACATGGTCCACGGCCGTTTTTCTGCCCTGCCACGTGGTCCGTGGGCGTTTTTCCGCCCTGCCGTGTGGTCCGCAGCTGTTTTTCCGCCCTGCCGCATGGTCTGAGGCCATTTTTCCGCCCCTGACGCGTGGTCCGCGGATGCCAGAACGGATTAACGGTAATTACATTGAACCTTATGGGAAAATTTGCCTCATGTTGCGACCAATTCGAGTTGCAACCAGAGTCACAGAACGGATTAAATTCGTAACTCGAGGTTCCACTGTATTTCAGTACTGTACTTTACTTGCCAAAGTCCCACAAACTCTTCTATGCAAAAAGAAAACTAGCCCTTTCTTTGAGATACTAATTTTCTATGTGTAATGATTAAAATGATTACTTGACAGGAAGACTAAATGGTAATCTGCAAATAAAAACCACAGTATAGATATGTTATGACAGAGAGAACCTTCTATTATCATAGAAAAAGATATATAGTAAGAAAAATAAATTGAATCAAATGTTGCTGGAATGTGGGGGTGGGTGGGTGATGATATGAGTGCATCACAACATTACGATGTGCAAACTTGCATCCAACTGAAAGTGTGTCATTTTCTCACCATCACAATTACTGTAGATAGAAATGCTTATGACTGCAATCCTATGCTTATATATTCAGTTACAATCCCACTGAATTTGGGCAGCAAGGCATAACAACTGTTATTTTTTGGGGAACTTAACAATAAGTTGTGAGGAAGTAGTTTAATCTAGGACAGGGGCAAATATATCCTTTCATCTAACACTGAAGGAGTAACATTGCATATACAAAGTATTTAATATCCTTAAACCTTTGTAGATCAAATACCAAAAAGTACATGTACATTTTAAAAATGGCAGGCAACATCCAAAGTAAAAAAGATGTACGAGCTACAATGTGAACCCAAGAATGTGCTACAAATAATAAAAAGCGTGTTCAGTCTTTATATAGAAAAGTGTTCCACATAAGAGCCAATACAGTATATGATTAAAATGTTGAAGTAGGACTGAAGAAATCTAAGTTCACGTCAGTCCTCAGCTATGGAAACTCAGTGGCAACTTTAGGCTAATTATTGTCTTTCAGCCCAACCCATCTCACCGGATAGTTATTTTGGGGGGGGGAGAGGAGGGGGTGCTGGAAACATCACTCTGAGCTTCTGGAGAGACGACAGGAAATAAAGGTAACAAGTAATAACATACTTTAAAATGTAGGTCAAAATGATGACTTCCACCTCAAATATAAAGGCTCCTTTGCAAGAAGCTCCTTGTCAAGGTCACATATACCTGGGTTTTCACATTGCATTAAACCATAATGTGGTTTTGTTTGGTTTTAGTTTAGCTGTTATGTTTTGCAAAACATGCTTTATATCTATAGAGGTGAATATGTGTAGCTCAGGGTTTATATCTTAATTTTATGCAGGCTTCTGTGGCATGGATAAAACAAATGAAGGCCTAGCATAATACGTGAATTCAGCAATTAAATTCACAGGGAAAGATGAGATTTTTATCTTAAGTTCATTGAATGCCACAGCTCAATAAAAGAACACTCATTTTTCAGGCAGAGGGGCATAGGTTCAAATCCCAATACCCCCAGCTAAAATAACTACAAGTTCAAATGGACAAACAGGTAGCTTCCTATATAATGATGATTGATGGGGGGGGGGTGGAACCCACAATGCTCCTGTTGGCTGACAGCATAAATATCCCTGTAAACTTGACTAAATTTACTGATGAATTTGCTGCAGTAAAGCACCACTAGTATTGAATGCCCTAGTTATGATACACCAATATACATCCAAAGGAAACAAGTTTTAATAGAGCTCCAGCTTAGAAGGGATGCATATTAATTTGTTATGCAGTTGTTTATTGATATGATAGCTACAACTAGCAATGCTTGTAGGAAACATAAAGAAAAATAGGTTAATTGACTTAATTAAGAAAAGGCTTAATTAAGACTTTCTAATTTATTATAAACCTATGTGGAAAATCCAGTATTTTTATTTTAATCTGCAATTAATCAATCACATAATAAAAGCATAACCCTTACAGCATCTCTGACTATGCCTAATAGCCTCTATAGAAAGCTATGAGCTAGTTTTACACATGGATGACTGCTTTTTTCCCTTACCAGTAGCTAAAGTTTGTCCCATTCCTGGCTTACTGTCAATGCATCCAATTCGATTGCAGAGAGTAATGGTAAAATAGTACATTCGGTATGGTTCTAGTCCCGTCACTGTATAGGATTGCTCATGGGCTTCAGCAACATACAAAATCTGCAAAATAAATGGACTTAAGATGTCTGGTTTGAGAGTGCTTCTCTTACTTTACATGAGTACGATAGCATATTTAACAATAAGTAATTGGTTGGCCAGAGTTCACCAAGCACCGTTAGCAGAAATAGCAATATTTTGAAAAAAATCCAACAAGCTATAGAATTAAATTATAATACGTTCATCACAATACTTTATGAGGTAATAATCCAGTTCCTGAGTAGACAAATGAGGAAACAAAATTATTGCCTCATAAAGCTGTGCAAGAGAGGAGTTATTTGTACAAACTGTACAGATTATGCAAGATAGTGGTACCACCATTATGTGGGGAAATCTAGCCGACTTGCAGCGGAATCAGAGCAAATATTTTAAAATGAGGACACACTGCCTTTTAAACAGGAAAAGTTATCCTTATTATATATTACTATCAGTAGGCACAGCACCAGAAAAGAATGTTCTTCTTTAAAATACCTTAAGTGAAAAGCATTAAAATGGAAAAATGGAAAGGAAGGGAAATACTGAATAAAACCAGTTTATTCAATTAGACTGAGAACACTTCTTTTACCATCTATTCCAGAAGATGAGTTTGGATCATCAGTACCATTAAATGTGTTTAATTTTAGGCTGAATGTCTGGCATATCACTGTGCATATGTCAGATCCAGTCTTCTCTTAAGTATCTTTTCAGAAGATTCCTTAATAAAATTCCTGTTTTGTTCCATTACCATTGACGTATGAAGTCCCTTAGAGAATAATTCTATATTCTGTGTCAATGGTGCTTCCCTGTATGAAAGGTCCTGGGAGAATCATTAATTAGAATGAGAATGAACATTTTAATTGTTCAAACCCAAACAGAATACTTTACCAGAATCATTTCAAAGGAATGTTAAGTCATTAGGTTTGGTTTTGTTCTTTTACTATGAGACTATTGCTTTTCAAGTATCATAACCTGCTATGGATTAGATAAAAATAATATAATGCAGAAAATAATAATAATAATAATAATAATAATAATAATAATAATAATAAT